TCCTGCTTGAGGGTTAGTGTCTTGTCCTTCCTGCTTGAGAGGTTTTAAAGCATCTCTTCTCCATGGGGGTTTCCTTTTGTATTCTCTTTAAAGGAAAAAACGAATTTACCTTAGAGATTAGGGAGCTGTGGGGTTATTCATTTATTTTAGCAGGTTTTTTTTCTTCTCCAAATTCAACTGTCATTTTTATTAAATTAATATTTAGAAAACATTTAGATAGTATTTCATTTTTAAATGGTAGGTTATCTAGATATTGAAACACTCTAAGCCACTTGTTTGCAAAGTAAGTTTCTTGGAATGTTAGTTCCATAAGAGGTTTCTTGGTGTTAGGTTTAAAAAACATTTTTTTTGTTCAAATAAGAATGGGAAATAATGGGTTAAATTGTATATGTATTTTTTAACTGTAGCATAAGAGCCCTTAATATGCAATGTTATGTACAAGAGGAAGAATGAAACTTCTGGCAGTTAAACTGTGATACACCATTTGTTGAAAGACATGTATCCCCATTTAGGAATATTAAGAAAAACACATACATCTTAGAATAGATGAAATAGGGTACATATTATCTAATGTTAGTGTCACCTTTTAACTTGAGTTTCCTCCCTATTGTTAGCTTTTCTGAGCTGCATTTTAGGCAACACTTGAGCTTTTGTTAATCCCAAGGGCTTGGAAACAAGTTTCATTCGTTTATTGCTTCCATGTTTTCTCCTCTCCCTATCTCCACCTCCACCGCACATACAGGCTCTGAACCTTCAGGTGTGGCACAGAGCAGTTTCCAATCACAGGGGCTTCTCTTAATGTTAATGTCTATAGAAAGATGAGGCAGTAACTCTAGGGTTTAATAAGAGAAGTTAAGATTAACACGAGTGGTGTCTGCGCATAGCCCTTACATGTGCCCTTTGATTACTAGCTTTGTTTACATTTAAAGGTAATGATTTCCTGTTAAAAGCTAGAAAATTATGATGTTCTCTAACTCCTTCATCCTTTTCTAACCTTCATCTTTCCCCTCACATTCTAGTTGTCTGCTGTTAGTGTTTCTTGCGTAGTTGGTATAAGACTAATCATTCCATTTAAATTATTGATAAACTATATTATATAATATAAATGTAATTATAATTTATTCAACCAAAACGATAATCTAGAAGTCAGAATTCTGGCAGCATTAGTTTTGTGGAAAATGATAAAATTCAGACATTATTAAGTACCTGCTATGTGCTGTTGTTACTGTGCTAAGTACTAGATTACTAAGAAGAGGAGGAAATGTGTTTTGGCACTGAGGGGAATCTAGCACCAAATGGGCTTTAAAAAGTCTTTTAAATATTCACTGCAAGCTGTTCTATTAAAACAGGTGAATTTTATTCTGTGGTGGACATGGTTCCGTGAGTTTCACTTTCCGTTGTATTCAGAGAGTAGTCAACTCCCTGAATACAAATTTTAATTTAACTGTAGGCATTTTTTAGTCATAACTCTTTCGTTCCAGTTTCTTTTTTCACAAAAAGAAACTTGTTTTTTGAAGATTGGGTTCTCATAAATAGATGAGTTTATTGTTTGTTACAGTAGTAGCAGTTTATTCCACATGAACACAGGTGATGACTTTACAGGACAAACAGTAGCAGATCATCTATTCTTTAAAGTAGACATAATTTCATGATAATAATTTTTCAGGAATTTTCTCTAACTGTATAAACAGGATAATCTTGGTATAGTTGTTTAGTGTCTTATGTTCTCCTCTTCCTTTCTGTTAAATTACTGTTGTTATTATCTCATACGAGTTAGATCATAGTTATGTATATGAATTTTAGAAGTGCCAAGTGGACTGTCAGTTTTCCTTCCTGCTACCTAGGTAGTCCTGTTCACCATTGCTATTTGGTTGGACCTATCATATTATCTACTAACCTGCCCTCAGTGGCGTTAATACAAATTTGACATGTTTCCAAATCTTTGTAGAGAGGCACATATTTCTTGTGTCTGATCAACATCCAACAGTTTTCAAGAAAATTCTTTCATAACCTGTCTTCAGTGTTGTTAGTTGTAGTTACAGCTATTTCTGATGTAACTCCTTGCAGAGCTGCCGTATGCTTCTAATATTGTTCCAGTCAGGGCGTATGTATTGCAGAAATGCTAATGTGTCTTTTCCCCCCTTTGCCTCTTACATACATTTTGGAAACCAAATCCTTTGGTCTCTCCTTGATGATACTTGTTTACAGGAAAACAATAATCCCTTGTGGAGGATTATAGGTTGCTAGAGTTTTTCAGACAAACCTAGTTAGGTAGAGTTTTGATTAGCTCACAAAAGTAATTATTAAATTATTTCTAGGGAGATAAGATAAATGAAACCAAAATTCTTTACAACCTGATGCTGCCACTTTCGGTTGATAGTCATTGTCTAGTAATCCCATTGGAACCTAACCCAAACCACATATGCACACCTATTTTTTTTTTTTTTTTTAACAATTTCAGTGTCAAGAGGTTACATTGCCTGGAATATATTATTTTTTCAGTTATGACATCTGCATTTATTTTGTTTCTTATGCATTCTGTAATATTTTTGCTAGAGCTTTTATTAAAACTATCTCTCCCTTATGTTTTCCTGTTTTACAACTTCTTGTCTATTTAAATTCTTTTTGGTTTCAGAGACGACCACCAGATAATTCTTTTTATGTTCGAACATGTAACAAGAATCCAAAGAAAACAAAATGGTGGTATCATGGTAAGCAGTTTTATTTTAGAATGATAACTTCTCAGTATTTTGGTTTGAAAGATTATATATATGCTTGCTTGGGAAAAAGAGAGAATATATAACTGATGTACTTTTGTAATATGGAGATGAATCTTTTAAATAGTTTAAGATATTTTATGGATAAGTTAGACTAGATTTTTAATGGGGCACATAAAATCATGGCAATCATGCAAGTAAAATCTAAAATTGCTCTAACATTCTGCTCTACCATTGTATTGCAAAACAGAAGTCCTTAATAATATTAAGTCAAATTAGAACTAGCCTATTGGGAAACCTGTTACTTGATATAGAAGTTATGACGCCTTGTGTACTCATTTAGTTATGGTACTGTTGTTAGGGTGGAGGATCACATTGTTAGAGATGGCCCGTTAAAGAAAGCTCTTCCTATTCTAATAGTTATTCCTGAAAAAATTTGAGGTTCTATTGATTGTAGCTTTATGAATACATTATGTTTAATAATTTAATTTCTATTGTTTCTGTTGGGTAATGGTAGCTTAATAATTGAAGGCTGCTAGCATCTTTTCTAAGCTGACTACTGCTTCCTCAAAGAGGTATTTGAAATTAGGAACAGAAGGTTTACATTCATGAGAAACCATAAAATTATTTATAAAAATTATTTTTAAAGTATTATAAAAATGTATATTCTTTACAAATTATTGGTTTAATGTAATTCAGTAGAATGATAGAGTGGGTGCTTTTAAGGTTTGGAAGAAAGATGAGAAGAGCAGTTTGAATTTTGAATTAAAGGATAATGAAGGAGGATAGATCTACCAAACACCAAAAGATAATAATGCAAGAATAGACATTGAAATAGAATTACTCTTTTCGGGCTTCCCTGGTGGCGCAGTGGTTAAGAATCCACTTGCCAACACAGGAGACATGGGTTCAAGCGCTGGTCCGGGAAGATCCCACATGCCGCGGAGCAGTGAAGCCCGTGCACCACAACTACTGAGCCTGTGCGCCACAACTACTGAAGCCCCCACGCCTAGAACCCGTGTTCTGCAACAAGAGAAGCCACTGCAGTGAGAAGCCCGCGCACCGCAACAAAGAGTAGCCCCTGCTTGCTGCAACTAGAGAAAGCCTGCGTGCAGCAACGAAGACCCAACGCAGCCAAAACTAAATAAATTAAAAGAAAAAAAGCACGGAAAAACCTCAAATCACAATCGATATAAAGTTAAAAAAATAAAATTGTGAAAGACGTAGCTTGATTAAAAATAAAGACCATTTATAATAGTTGCTTAAGAATAAATTAATTACAAGCGTGGGCAAAGAAGTTCAACACAGTAAAATAATGACAAATTTAATATTTTGAAACTTATTGGCAGAGTTTTATAAAATGAATGCAGTGTTGGAGGAGGAGAATAAAGGGTAGAATAAAACAGTGTTTTCAGGGGACATCCCCCGTGGTCCAGTGGTTAAGGTTCCGTGCTTCTACTGCAGGGGACACGGGTTCGATCTCTGGTCAGGGAACTAAGATCTCTGCATGCCCCATGGCAAAAATCAAAACAAAACAAAAGACAAAAAACTGTTTTCATATTTGCTGGTGGTATAGCAAGTTAGTGTAATCCTTTAAGGAAACAGCAGTTCAGCAGTATTTAGCAGTTCAGCGATATTTAACAAGCTTGAAGTTCAAGACTGAACCTTTTGTCTCAGTTGCTAAACTTCTGAGAATCCATCCTTGGAAAATCATCTTTAGTACAAAAAATGTTTGATGCATGAAATGTTCCATGGAGCATTATTTATGATAGGCACTCTATTCCTTATCCTCTGTTGTTTCCACGTGTGCTATTTGCCTGGAAGGACTCCTTCCACTCTGCTTGGGAACTCTTTCACCAAAGCCTTGTTCATTACTCCCTCCTTTAAGGAATCTGATCAACTTTATTACTGTACCAGAATGCTGGTTTTGTTTTACTTTTTAAGATATCCCCAATAATTCTGATATAGCTGGTCACTTGATAACTACTGTTTCAGGGATTCTTAAATATAAAAGGACAGGTTTCCCATGGGAATTCTTTCTGAATACTGAAAGTCCACTAAAACTAAACAAGATCCTACTTGAATTAATTGGCCATTTCCTTCAGTTTACATTTCTGGCTTCTCATTCTTGCACATCATCTTGCCTTTTAGGACTAAATACTAAGCTGTCTCTTCCCTCTGTGCCTTTACAAAGAACCTTTTCAAAAAGAAAAAACATTCCTTGAGTGTCACAGTCCCCTTTACCCTTTATAAGTTCTTAAATTCATCAAAAATTAAGATTAGTCAAGCAAGAATGTTGACAAATACAACTAAATCAAACATTTTTAAAAATGTCAGAGTTGCCAAGATAGTAGTCATTCTATTTCAGACCCAGCCTCACTAGTAATAGAAAAATTCCCCAATTGTCTTTTCCACAGTGTTTTTAAACCACTTTTAAGTCTTTTTGTTAAACTTGAGAAGAAATTGTCTTAGAGTGATGGAATTTTTAAAATATGTATTTTTTTTTTTAATAACATCCTACAGCTTGGCTTGGGTTGTTATTCTTTTTAAATTTATTTATTTATGGCTGTGTTGGGTCTTCGTTTCTGTGCGAGGGCTTTCTCTAGTTGTGGCAAGCGGGGGCCACCCTTCGTCGTGGTGCGCAGGCCTCTCACTATCGCGGCCTCTCCCATTGCGGAGCACAGGCTCCAGACGCGCAGGCTCAGTAGTTGTGGCTCACGGGCCTAGTTGCTCCGCGGCATGTGGGATCCTCCCAGACCAGGGCTCGAACCCGCGTCCCCTGCATTGGCAGGCAGACCCTCAACCACTGTGCCACCAGGGAAGTCCCTAAATATGTATATTTTGAAAGTACAGTTCTCTTTGCCACTCTGTCCCGCCCCATTGTTAGTATATTCCCATTTTTCCCTTCCTTATTCCCTGGTAGGGAAATTTCAAAAAGATAATCATCTCTTCAGCCCTCTAAATGCTGCCTTGTATAGTCAAAAAGACTTATCAGAAGGCCTTTACTTAAGAATACTTCCAGAATTTCTTATTGCTTGCTTTTTTTGTTTTAATATTTATTTACTATTTATTTTTATTTTTGGCTGTGTCGTGTCTTAGTTTCGGCGCGCGGAATCTTCATTGCATCACGTGGGCTTCTCTCCATTTGTGGTGTGTGGGCTTAGTTGTCCCATGGCATGTGGGATCTTAGTTCCCCAACCAGGGATCAAACCTGCGTCCCCTGCATTGGAAGGTGGATTTTTAACCACTGGACCACCAGGGAAGTCCCTTATGGCCTGCTTTTGAATAAGAAAACTTGCATAGTAAAACTGGAAATACAAAAATTCTTTAAAACAAAGTATACTTCATAGTAGAAGTTATTTTTCATAGTTAATGGCTTTTATCTATTACTTGTGAAAGCCATACTTTTATAACTAAAGTAGAAGTCTTTTAACAGTTTAAAGGTGGATCATCTCCCAAGTTAGCCAAGAAGTACTAAGAAAAGAGGCTTTTCAAACTAAATTAACCTCTTACGTAATGTAAAATAGTACAGGGTTTGTATAGGAATTCATTTTCCCAGTAAACAGATTAAAAGTATCCCCCTCGGGCTTCCCTGGTGGCGCAGCGGTTGGGAGTCCGCCTGCCTATGCAGGGGACGCGGGTTCGTGCCCCGGTCCGGGAGGATCCCACGTGCCGCAGAGCGGCTGGGCCCGTGGGCCACGGGCCCAGCCCGTGAGCCTGCGCGTCCGGAGCCTGTGCTCCACAGGGGGACAGTGAGAGGCCCGCGTATTGCAAAAAAAAAAAAAAAAAAAGTATCCCCCTCGATACAAATTAGCCATTTTTAAAAGGCACCTGATTGTAATTCAACTGAATCATGACTATCCTTTTCTAGTTTCCTGTCCCAGGTACAGATAAATTTTTTTTGTTTACAGATAATCCTGTTTAAAACCTCCTCAGTTCCTTGCCTTACAGTGACCATTCTTATCTCACTGTGTTTTTTGCTCCTGCTTGAATCCTATATGCCTGAATCATTCCTCTCCTGCATTCTCCCTTAAATGGAAGGTTTTGCTCCATGAGTGAGTGTCATACGAAATCAAAGAAGGGTAGTGTTCGTTATACTTTGAGATGATAGAGCACCCGCTGTCATACGGGTGGTTGTGTACAGGGACTCTTCCTTGAACTCTTCCTTTACCTTTACAAAGCTAAAGCATTGCAGCTGTGTAGTGTATATTGTCTTCTCCTTTATACCTTTCACAATAACAGTTATAAACAATATGAAAAATAGCCCACCTTGGTATTATAGTTGAATTTGGAAAATCTTATCAAAAAAGGTAATCATACTCATTTAAGCAGAACCACATTAGCTTTGTTTTGGAACTTTTGAAGTTTCAGCTTATGTTTTTCTGCTTAGCTGCTTTAGTTCCAGAAGATCTTCATTGATTATGTTCTCTTTATAACTAATGCCAGTTACCAAGAAATACGGACTCTAGTTATTTTCTTACCATCATTTAATTCTGAAAGGATTACAAGATCAGAGTAGTGTCCTGATGTGACCTGCAATGCTAAACAGAAAGATCAGACTGAACAAAGACTTGCTTGGAGTTGGAAGAACTCACTGAAACACTTAACATTTCAGTTTCTAGAAACCAAGCAGAATTGTAGGCCTCATGTCAAGCTCCACAGCCCCTCTGTGTGGTGCTGAACAACATACTTGGGTCAGCATGGGTCAGAGTGTTTGTCAGGTGTAATCAAAGAGGCAAGAGAGGGGCTTCCCTGGTGGTGCAGTGGTTGAGGGTCCGCCTGCCGATGCAGGGGACACGGGTTCGTGCCCTGGTCC